TTTTTTTTTTCAAATTTGTTGAATTCTGCTCATAATAATACGTACTTGTCACATTTGTTTCATGCTCTCGCTTTATTCCAGATTCGTATACGAACATTGATTCATGTTTCGTGATAAGCGCTTAACGAGTCACAATCGTGACCGATTTGCGTTCGTTGAAACTGACAATCAAATAGGGAAGAAAATTGGCGGAAGTTATTAATAAATGTTGATTGGGAACGACAGTTGAGTACATTCTGAAATTGACTTTAGAAACTCATTCAATCAACTTATTCAAACAGGAGTTAGTTTGGTTCATGGAAACAAGTACGGATCCAGCCAAATTCAAAGAAATACCCAACTCGTTAACGGCATAACATTGCTATTTGGTTTGCTCACTCGCACGGATTATTATAAATCCGATACAATTTGTCAACTGCTTTCTGCTCCTAATACTGATAACTGCCACTAACTTCAAAGTGTTGTTAAAACTGACTCAAGAAATACCACGAGATATGTATGTCTTGCGTTATTCTCGGATAGCTTTAACAACCTCTTGCCTTGTGTAATTCACTTGATCATCTCATTCTAAAACTCAAGGTATAAGTTACCCTGTATCTCGATCAGCAGCATACCGAATGAANTCGGTTTCATCAAAGCAAGATGGATGCAGGTCGATTCGTTTGTATCATTTTCATAAACACCTATTCGGTCATTCGACCCGAATTATTTTCGTAACGTTTTTTAGCAATGACATTCGAATTCTTTATAAGAGGGAACTATATGCAGGTTGTGCTGTAAATTCATCCAATCGCACTTCTAGTCTCGATAAATATGGCCAGAAGCATAAATATGGATAAATAAATATGGCATCGGCAGCTGTTTGCTCTCGAAACAATATTCATACTCATTATTTGTTAATGAATGTGTGCATGTTTACTTTTGCTTCTTCATATCACCGAATGAAATATTCACTGTAAAGAATATCAAAATGAAATATTCATTTTAGAGGTGTGCAAAATTTTTATCTATCAAATTAGTTGTTCAAAACATTTGTAAGCAGTTTCAATGAACGTCACACATATCGATGAATGGAATAAAGTCAAATGATGTTTTTGTGCAAATTCGCGTAAAATTTTGTTCTTTCATACGTTGTTTCTTCTCACTCATTTTTCCTCATCATCATTCCTACACTGCACGTATTAACCAGTTTTAAATGGCGTTCCTCTGGATGGATGTAATTCTATTTAATCCATTGCTCCTCAGTGCCACTCTCTCGGCTTCTTTTTAAGCACTCAATTCAACTCATATTGGCTTTCAGATCTCATACTCCGCGCATGCTTTCTCTGAACTTTTCGAATTCAACTACAATTTTGTGNAATATCCGTTCACGCTCAATTCATTCGAAAAAAAAATCGCTTGGTTCACTCCACCCATTGCCATCAAAAAGTTCCTTATTTTCACGGTTTTATGCAATGAACGCAAAAGTGTTCACCGCCGAGACTTATCATTTCTGAGCTTTGTGTGCTCCTTTGGGTTGGAACAAATTTCGATTCAAATTTATGTGAAAATTAACTGTTCAATCCCGATGGGAGTCAAGAATTTATCAAAACGATTCTGCCGCATTCTTGCAACGGCAATAATTGATGACTAAAAATGTGATTGAAAATGTCATTCTGATTAAAAAGATTCTGACTGAAAGTGTACTCTTTTTCGGATTGAAACTCTCGAAATACTATTGGAATTAGAAAGAAAGACAAATGCGCCGAAGCACTATTTATCAGAAATTCACTGAATTTAAAGAATGCTCTTCCCAAATAACTTCGAATGTTCTATCAATCGGTCTTTTACATCATACACTTCTTATGGTATTCCGATAAGTTAGGAATGAATTTAGAACGTAGTTCGTTGGATCCGAGGAGTTAATATCTTCTGAAATAAAACTATTTGGTCCCGTTGAATATTAATGGATTCATAACATCCTGAGGGTTGAAATCAAACTCCAATATTGCTATGCTTAATGTCACACGATAGCGAGAACCACCGAACTGATAGAATTGATATTATTGTCANTGGTATGAAGACGGTCATGTGATATTGAAAAAATATCGTTCTAACCACTTAATTTCCCTATTTTTTGTACAGTGCTGCTATGAACCATCCAATGCAGTAGTCCCCACGCTGGATACTCCATTACCCATCCGATAGTCTGACAGATAGTCATTACCCCCACGCCTTCCCCACCCCACCCGCTACAATAGTTTACTATTTCCACGCGTAACATCAGAACTAATTTCCCGATCCCCTCAACTACCAGCTTGACATCCCAAATTACCAAAAATGTGTAATTTCTACCCTATGGGGACCCCTGATCTAATAATATTGGAAAGGGGCAAAATCAGATACGTATGCGAGATTCACAAGAGCATCATATCACGTGGGCTCAAATGTTCTTTGTCTAGTTACCAAAGCTATTATATGTCCTTTAGGTCCTCTCTGATGAATAATTCCATCACATTCATTCAATTGCATCCGAACTAGCATCTTTATCTGCCATTCATACTCACAATCACCTGAAAATGTGAGGTTATGATCAGTTGATGAATGCAGGTATAACGGTATCTTAGCGAATAGTGAACGCGAGATATCGATTCTACGTTGCGGTGACATATTAAAAGAGGATGTGTGCATACAGTGGATGGGTGCGAACACGTTCGTTTTGATATAATTAATGGAAGGAAAGCATTGAATATTTGGCTTTGAGCGAGGATATTAATTTTATGAAGACGTTAGAATACGAGTGAATTGACGATGAGATGGCCAATAAATTGATTATGATGAATGCATCGAAAGCAAGAGAAGATATAATGAGGATATACGTGAACATAATAGTTTTCCGTTTGCATCGTTCAGTCCAACTCTGCGTTTTGAAAATGCTTCAATTGAAAGTGCTTTTTGGAGAATATCTGCTGAAAAATTATTATTCAAATGTAAGCTGATAATGGGATAAGAGATCATTAGCACTTGAATTCCATTCAACTGAAGTGGACGTTTTCGTTTACTCGTACATCGATAAGATTTATGCAGCATTTCATTTCGAGAGGTGAATAGACATATAGTCTATAATTTTGTAGATGCCTAATTGAGGAGTGGTTTGAATTGTTGAACTTGTCAGCTTCCAAAATTCATCGAGTATTGTTGAGTGTACGACTGGTATCGTCATAAGTTCACGAATGTTTTCCTATGTAATTCAATTCTCATCACCCGAATTATGCCGTAAACTGTTGCATGTCCTTAGAATATTGCGCTCAGCATTTTCTGTGCACTGTTCACCACTAATTGAAGAGATATCTTGATGATCCCTTCAC